GACTGTAGTTTTAAAAGATTCACGTCGCTGGTCCCTCTGAGTGTGAAGAGAATTAATCATTGGTTCTAAAAGATTCTGGGTCATACCACGTCTGGGATGGAAGAGAATTCTGACCCGGTGTCTCTGTTCACAGGTGTGAGCCGTTCCCAGGGAGGCGTGGCCTGCGGGGACCTCAGTTCGACTGTTTCTCGTGGCCTGGGGGGCGTGGCCATCAGCAGTGGCACCCTCTGCTCCCCTTCTGGGGTGGGGGTCTGCTCCAGTGCAAGATCTGTGTGGTTTGCATAGTTGGGGGTGGGACTCGGATGGATGGAGTCCAATGGGGATGTCGGGGGAGTAGGAACGGGGAATCTTGTCTCTCCCAGGCCCAAATGTTAGTTTAGTAGTTTCTCCCTACTGGGAACCCAGAACTAACGCTTCAGTTTTCGTCCTACTGGAGTTTTGATTTACTCTGAGTGCAAACCCTGGGTTTGGCGTTATTGCCACCTCTGTTGATTCTCCCCTCCCTGTGACCCAGGAAAGGGATGTAAAGGCTTTTTGATACAAACTGCTTAGCCACTTTCTTCCCCAACTAACTTCAGGTTAGCAGACATTACTAAGTACTGCCTGTGGGCCAGGCCTCTGGGAGGGGAGCCAGGTTGAGGGATGGCAGTGCATGGGTGCACCTCTGGGCTCTGCCCTCGGATGAGGGGCTGTACACGCCGCCTCAGCATGGAGGGGGCAGTGGGGGAGTGGGCTGGGGCTCCGGGAGGCCCCTAACTTAGTCTCAGAGATTGTGTGTTCCCAGAGCATCCCCCAACTGTTCATATGTCAGGATGGAAAACTTGACTGAGGCTCATTGGCTGAGGTTTTCATTGTTGGTGGTTTGGAATCTTATTGTATTTGGGTGATTGCTGTTGTGGCTCCTTCTCTCTTTTGGTGTGTATGATTAAATGTCGACAGTAAAAGGCTTTCTCCTGGTCACCAAGTGAGTGCCTGCCTCCTTCCTTGTCTTCCCAGCCCACCCAGAGCCCTGATTGCCTCAGTGCTTCTCCAACTGGGGACCACGACCTACATCAGGATCCCTGGGGGGTGGGAGTGGGGGCTTGTTACATAGGCTGATCCTGGGTTCCATCCAGAACTACTGAATCACAAGTTCTGTGGGTGAGCCCAGGAATCTGAATGTAAACAGGCTCCCAGGTGTTGCCTGTAGGATGTAAAGTTTAAGAACCACTGGTATATGGGTGGAGGGAACAGGAGGGTCAGATAATTCTGGCCGTGGAGGTGACTTTCCCTCTGATTCTCACAGGATCAGATTCATCTCTTTGCATTTCTCCTTTGACTTTGCTGAAGGGTCAGAGCCAGTCCGGGCCACGCATGCCGGGGTAGGGTGGGGGCAAAGACAGAAAAGAGGAGGAGAAGGGATCCTGTATTCACAAGCACCTGCTAAGTGGCTGGCACATCATATATGTATTTCATTCATTGCTCACAGCAACAGTATTATTATCTTCATTTTACAGCTAAGGCAATTAAGGCCCAGATAAGTTAAGTAACTTTACTAAGGTCACACAGCTAGTCCAGGATCCAAACTGGCATCTAGGGAATGCCGACGTTCATATACTTCCTGCTGTCTTACCCCAATTATTCCGTCAGACTAAGCATCCTGGCTCATCAGATGCTCCCAGATGAGGGGTTCTAACTGCTCCTACCTTACTAGCCTGACACTTAAGAGGTAAGAGATGGAGGTGACATAAAGGAACCTCCTGGAAGCATCTGTAGAAACATCTCCCTACAGCCTGTGCTCTTCCAGAATCTTGGACGATCTTATTATGGAGCAGTTAATACAGGCCCCTCATGTGGGAACCCAGAATTAAAACTCAGCCCTCGAGTTGACGGGCATTTCCCCCGATGGCCTGGACAGGGGCAGTTGAGTGGAGAACTCTGTCTCTGCCCTATTCCTGAACTGCCAGTCCCCAGCAAGTCCCACCTGGGGAGTATGTTCAGAGTCCCTCTGATGCCAGGCTGTGCCCCTGGATGTGATGAGGTGGAGAGAGAGGTTTCTGATGGACGACTTTCTTTCACTTGTCTTATAGGAATAACTCTACTTTTCCCACCTTGTTTTATTTGGGGTAAAAAAAAAGATTTTAAGAAAGACCTGACTGGGTAGAAGATATTTTGCCGCAATAATACATATTTGATCTCAAGACTTAGAAAACACTTGGAGCAGTTGCCCCTGGCAATGCAGCCCTTCTGACGCCTTCAGAATGTGTCCCCAGGGGGCACACTGGTCCCCTGGGCCCCGGGAAGACCGAGGTCTCAGTATTATAGTGCTCCCCTCGTCTCTGTCTCCTGGATAGAGAGGGTCCCACAGGGGCTACATCATGGGCGCATCACTGTCTGGATGCCACCAAGTTTGAGTGGGGTAAGATCAGGTTCAAAGCGCCACTAGATTTGCTCTGAGGAGTGGAAGGAGTCCCATGGGGCACCTGCTGCCCTGGGTGGGGGAGTGGGAAGGGGCTGCGGTTCCTTCTGAAGGGGTGGTGGAGGGTATGTGTTTACATATTTGTGCCTCTGTGTTTTCTCCTTTTTTTTTTTTTTTGCTGAGGAAGATTGGCCCTGAGCTAACATCCATGCCTATCTATCTTCCTTTACTTTATATGTGGGACGCCTGCCACAGCAAGGTTTGATAAGCAGTATATAGGTCCGCACTGGGGATTTGAACCTGTGAACCCTGGGCAACCGAAACGGAGTGCGCAAGCTTAACCACTACGCCACCGGGCTGGTCCCCGTGTTTTCTCCATTTTTAATGCAAAAGCTCATGCTCTGAGTGCCGCCTCCACCCCACTCCACTCCCTGGCTCCTCACATCTCACCACCACTGCCCAGTAGCACCAAGGGAACAAGAGCGGGCACATTGGGGGACCCCTGTTTTTGAACAAAGCAGAAATGGGCAGGGTTTCCAGGGGCACAAAGGGGTCTGGTGAGGGTAGGGGGCAGGAAAGCGGTGTGAGGCACTTGTGAACTGAGCCTCTCCCCATTGCAGGTGCCCCCACCCAAGGAGAGTGGAACTTAGTGCAGGGGCCATGTCGCTCTAATTTTCAATGAACAAAACACTTAGTACGGTCACCTCTTAATGTCTGTGTCCCCAGAGAGTGGCAGTGGCGTGAATATACAGACAAGGGGCAGCTCCTAGATGGTCATTTCCAGTGTGCACATCCATTCCAAAGAGGGACACACTATGTGATTTCCTTGGCCATGTGGTTGATTTGAGTTTCTCACTATGCTTGGCTCCCGTGAGGAATGACACCAATTCATATTTCCTGAGATTCCCAAAGACTGAAGCAGGGAACCATCAGAGACACTGGGGCCAGGGGAAGGAGCTGGCTGGGAGAGGGTCTGAATTTGTGAGAATAATCCAAAGCAGAGGACGTTTGAGACTTGGCAGAGGCATGCTTGTGGCTTCCGAGATGAAAGGAGATGATGCCAAGGCCCGAGCTGGCCTGATGTTTTGAAAGGACTGTCTTCCACACTTCCTCACCCTTTGGGGACCCTGTGTACAACCGGGGGGCGACATTGAATATTGACATGAGAGCAGAACAGGCATAAGGTCTGATTTGCTCTAACGAAGGTCTTAGCTTGGCTTGTGGAGTTTCAGAGGAAAATGGCGCCAGGCAGGCGCTCTGGAACCACTCACACAGGCCCGCTCGAATGTTGGGCTTCTTTTTCTTCCAGCTCTTCTCTGTTCTCTCCATTTCAGACCACTGGACTTCTCTACATGTTTTTTACTAATAAAACTTTAATCCTCAGTTACCCTTGGTTGCAACCTTTGCTCTTCGTGGGGAATAGCTCTTTTATCAGGAGAGGGCTGTGGGAGCCCCAGAATCCTTTGACCCAGAAGAGCTTGTTCTGGATTTTTGCTGTTGGCTGTGAGGAAGGCTGGGGGAGAGGACTCATCCTCATAAGCCAGTGGCACCTGGGGCTGTTGGGTCGGTTGACTGGTCTTTGCACACAAAGCATGAAAACTTATTAAAAAGCTTATTAATATCGCCCAGCTCCTGGCCGTTTGACTTTTCAATGCATGGTATCATATTCTTGGAGTATCAGATTTGGCATTTTAGTTATGCTTGGCCCAGACCCATGGTACCATCAAGTTGTTTTCCCCAAGCACAGACTCACTCCAGCATCCCAGATCCATAGGAGGTGGCAGGGCTGAAAGGGCTCAAACCCCTCATCTCAGACCCCCAGGCTGATACCCAATGCACGGAGGCCGCTTCTTGCCCAAGGCCTTGTTGAGATATGGCATGTTGATATTCAAATTTCTATCTCCTGACTTTTTAGTGCCTGAGAGATTTAACCTTTCCTGTGGATGAATGATGGGCCCTAAATTGAACGTTGGCCCATTGTGATTATGACCAGGCCCTCGAAGCCCAGAGAGGCGGGAGAAAGGAGGGGAGGCAAGAAACCTGGAGGAGGCCTGCCTGGTGCCAGCTGGCAAATGTCAAACAGCAGCAGCCCGAGCCCTCAGAAGCGGCTGGCAGCCTCTCTTTAGGCCTGAAGTGAGGATTCATCAGAAGGCGCAGGGCCTTAACTTCTCCTCCCAGAGAAAGGCTGGGGTGGGGGCAGCAGAGGGGGCTGAGGAGCAGGTGGGGAAAGAGGAGATGCAGGGAGCCTGCACTTGGCTTAAGGAGCACATGCATATGCTGGGAACTGGCTTGAACCAAGTGGGAGGGGATGAGAGCAATGAGTCTGGCATGGGCTTCTGGCTGCTGGGGGTGTGTGGGGTGGGGTGGGGTCGGGGAGAAAGAGGTCATGGGGGGAGCTGGGGCTGGAATCCAGGCCTGAGGGGACTCAGGAGGCTAAGCCGGAATCAGGCTATGGGAGTGGACAGGAAGAGGCGGAATCACTCGGGGGCTGAAGAAACACTGCACAGGGCTAGGAAGGATTGGCCAGCTGGAGATGGGGCAAGAGGGAGCTGAGCGTTGGACATGTGGAGGGGACGGAGACATCGTCATTCACAAGATCACATATCCTTGCATCGCAGCAGCATTTATTGAGACACAGATTGAGACAACCCAGCAGGCAAGGCACCCACAGACAGTCATAACCAGAGGGAGACCCGGGAAGTGGCCTGACCTTCTCCATCCCGCCCGCTCTGCACTGGACAGACCCCTCCTGCACCAGCAGGGGGAGATCTGGAGCAACCGTAGAGTTGTCTGTGAAATGTTTAAAGGTGCATTGAAGAGCGAGACCTGTCCCAAATCAAAAGGATTCCCCCCCTTTCAACTGGGCCTCTCAACTGCGAGGTCACGTGAAGAGTTTGGCTGGCACAGGTTAACCCAGAAGAAGGCAGTGAGTCAGAGAAACAAGCAAAACACAAAATAACCACCTGGCAAGTGCTTCCTGCAGAGACCTCCCCAATCAGGAGAAGGCAGCTATTGGGGGTGGGGTAGGGGGGCTTCCTCTTTGGTTCTCAGGTGGTAGGAGACCTGGCTGGATGGTTAGGCTCATTCCTTGTCCAGGGGAAGGCCAGGCTTCCATGATGTCTAGCCACCCTGGGTGACCAGTAGTGTCCCAGAGAGCTTGGTGGATAATACAAATTGGCCACAGGTGTTTTGGAGTCAAATCGGACTTAAGCGAAGGGCTGGGAATGACTCTAACTGAAGTTGAGGAGAACCAGGAAGCAATGCCCTAAAATAAGAAGGTGGCGGAGAGCGGCCAGAGGGTCTTTCCCTCTGTAGGAACATGTGGAAGATTCTGGAAGCAAGCACACATTTTCCATTCACACACCACCCTGAGCCTGGCTGATGCAGGCGGGCCCCGGACTCTATGCGAAGCGGACCGACCGGCTGCTCCCACAGCTGAAGCTGGAGGGACGGGGCTGACAGGGGGCACAGGCATCGGGGGCCATCACGGTGATGCTGCCCCCTATGGCCGAGGGGCCAGATGCAATTTGGCGCCCTGGGGTGGTGCTATATGTGAGACCCCCACAGGAGATTCCGCCGCCTCGGGAGCTGCTGACGCCTGTGGGAAGAGAGGGGACACAGAGGGGTGAGTGGCCTGCCGTGATCTCCCCATCCCGGTGACAACATCTAAAGGGCGTCTGTATTGCAGGACCTTCCTCCTCCTCAAAACAGTTTAGTGGTTCATAACCCAGGCCCTGTTTCTCTTAGCCTCTCAGCCCTTCTAGGAGACTGGGGCAAAAAGCGAAGACCCCGGGAGGGCCCACAGGGGCAAAGCTGCCTTGTCCTATTTCCATGGCCTGCAGCTCACATCGCCACCAGTGGAGGCGCTCACCTCTGCTCCTCCTAACCCCTTAGTGCTCCCCAGTGAGGAGCCAGAGGAGGCTGCAAGGCCCCATCCCAGTCAGGGAACATTCGAATTTCAATGAGTTAGACCGTTGGGTTCAACTTTGCCCATCAACAAAGCGATTTTACCAGGGGGCTTTCGAGCAGATACTTACAGACATTCACAGAGCCCACACCTTCGCACAGCCTACGGGGAAAGAAAAGTCTGTTAGCTCCGGATGCTGAGCGGGATCCCACAAGGCGGATGGTTGCTCGGGGACAGAGAGGGCCCTCCCGTGTACAGATCCTACTCCCAAGCGGCAGGAAGGGCTCCCCAAAGTCCGCATGAAATGCTCACTGTCTTTCTGTAACCATTCTCTGAGCATGGCGGCAAGGCCTTCTGATTTTCAGCAGAGATGGGGGACATGGTGAACTCCACAGCTGCCTCCAATCTGATTGACCCAGCCCACCCCGGATAGTGCCTATCAGGCTCATAGAAAGGAGAGGCCAGCAAATGCTCCGGAGTGTGTGGAGCTCCCAGCCAGTGAAGAGCTACGTGCGTACAGAGTCCTACGATATGTCAGCCTGCACTGCAGGCCAAGCTGCAGCCTCGTGTAGCCAGCCACTCAAAGAGAATAGATTTGAGAGACATGTGACTTGGGTGCCGGTCTCCATTCCTGCACTTCGCTGTGTGGCCACAAGAAAGGCATTGAACACTGAGCCTTCTTTCCTTGTCTTTGGATAAAAAATGATATCTACCTCATTGGATTGCAAGGATTAAAATGAGCATTTAGCACAGTTCTAGCATATAATAAGTACTCGATAAATTATTATTATTATTCTTGAAGCTTGACCTGTACTAGCAGAGGTCAGAGATGTAGCTCACATTTGGGAAATTCACCCAGGGCCTCCACCTTCTATACCTCCAAGGTCCTCCTTAGCCTCACCTCTGCTCCTCGCCCTCCAGCAGGCGCCTGTAGGTGGCGATCTCGATGTCCAGGCCCAGCTTGGAGTTCAGCACCTCCTGGTACTCCCTCAGCAGGCAGGCCATGTCCTGCTTGGCCTTCTGCAGGGCCTCCTCCAGTCCGGCCAGCTTGCAGCGGGCGTCGTTGAGGGCCGCCTCACCCTGCTGCTCGGCCTCGGCCACGGCGGCCTCCAGCTTGGAGTTCTGGGGACCCAGAAGAGAATGAGGTGGGTCATGGTCCCTGGGTCTCTCTGTCCATTTCCTGCACATGTCCAGTCCTCCTGCTCAGCTGGGGACACCCAGGAACAGGCATCTCGCCCTCATCACCTGGGTCTCCCTGAGCGACCACAAGTAGGGACTCTAGTCATGCACACGGGCTGGAGGATGAGTGCTGAGATCCACAATGGGCTCACACACCTTGGGTGGGCCCCAAACGACCATTACCTGGCACTTGGCATTCTCGATCTCGGCGGTCAGCCTCTGGATCAGGCGGTTCAGCTCGTTAATCTCCTCCTTGGTGCGGCGCAGGGTCTCCCCATGCCGGACCACCGTGGCCTTTATCTCCTCGCACTGGGGGGAAGCAGAGAGGCTCCTGAGGCTCAGGATGGGACATCCCGCCCATCAGGACACCACAGATGATAGTTCAGGTTGCACAGTGCTCAGCCTGTGTACCCATACATGGCAGTCTTGCCTTGCCACACAAACTGAGAGCTGTCAGCCCTTCTCTTACCATCCCTAAAGATCAGAATCCCCAGACAAAAAGAGGCTTGCTAATATATGCCTCGCATCCATCCCACTGCCATGTCTAGGAGGCAGGTGTCCTGTGCCACTCACCTTGGTGCGGTACCAACTCTCAGCCTCAGCCCGGCTGCGGCTGGCGATGTCGTCATACTGAGCCTTGATCTCGGCCACGATGCTGTCCAGGTTCAAGTCCCGGCTGTTGTCCATCTTGACGATGACTGAGGTGTCCGAGATGTGGGCTTGGAGAACACGGATCTCCTGGGGGACCAAGAGCCAGGGCATTTGGGTCTGTGCCTGCACTGGGCCGTGTGCTCCACCCCTGGGGACGGGGTCCACTCCCTGGAGGGGGCACTGGTCATGCATGTTACATGACTGTTGTGCCACATGCCCCCCCCTTCACTCACACACAGGTAGATCATAAAACAATAAAGCTGGAAGGGGCCCTTGAAGTCAGCTGGGGATAGCCTCCGACTTAACAAATGGGAAAACTGAGGCCTGACTCAAAGTCACCCAGCAGGAGAGCTGGGGTTTGAATGCCAGGACTAGTGACTTGTCCATTAATTGGGATCCCTCTCTAATCAGAAACCCCCCAACCCCACCCCCACGTACACATTTTCATATCCATGTATAGACCGATGTGCACACAGGCACACACACTATAACATGCATAGGAGCTCACGACATAGAGAGACCCGACCACACACACCCCACAGTCCTCAAACACCCATGCAAGGATCTCACTGGGCACATACATACACGTGTCTGTGACAGCCACACAACACGCCCCTCTTGCATGTAGTGTGCATGTTCTTTTCATGCTTCCATCACATATGGGGCAGACACGTGCACACAACCCTCGTCCACCTCCCCCAAGTCTCCCCTGCTCCCCCACCTGCCCTGGCTGGTGGGCAGGGTCCCCTCACCTCATCATAGAGGCGCTTCAGGAAACTGGACTCCTCCACCAGCGCCTCCACGTTGGCCTCCAGGTCTGATTTCCGCAGGTAGGCGCAGTCCACGTCCTGGTGGTGGGGTGTAGAGGAGGGAGCGTGTGTGGGGGAGGAGGCCCAAGAAGGGTGCCTCTGTGGTCACTGGGGTGACCGGGCCCCCCACCGGAGGTTGCATGGATGGGTCCCCCTCCCTCCCTGCCCCATGACGAGCCCCCTCACCTTCTTCAGAACCACGAACTCATTCTCGGCTGTGGCTCTCAGAGCCACTTCCTCTTCATACCTTTGTGTAGGAGAGAGGGGCCAGAGCTGAGGGCTGGGGGCCTGGATACCATCCCGGCTCCCCGGCAAGCTCTTCCGGGGGTCAAAAGGGATTAACTCCCTGCAAATGTTATCTCGTCCTCTCCATGACCTATTTTGTACATTCTTCATGGGCTAGCCCTGGTCCCAGCCTGGCTTACTCCACCCAGTCCTGCTGCCTCTGGGATGAGATCAAGGAATGAACACTCCATCCCCTAAGTCTAAAATCATCCGTGCGTCCGAGATCCAAAGAGAGCTGGCGCCACGGGCAGGGAGAACACGGAGCCGGCGTCCTAAAGGTGAGCCGGGGGAGAAGGGAGGGCACCAAGATTGCTGTAGAACTACACTGGGATTCCTTTCCTCACTTCCCCTGAAGCTCTAAGACTTGTGGGCCTCCAAGAGGTAGAGGAGGAGCCAAAGAGTCTGCAGAGACCTAAGCCCCTTCTGGACATCCCCTGGGGTTCCAGGCAGCCCCTGTTGTCAGGCAGGAATCTTAAACGTGTTGCTTCAAGAGGGTTGTGGGCGGAGCCATCCTGCTTCCCAGTTCCCCCTGATCATGCTGCGCTCACCTCTTCTTGTAGCCCTCCAGCACCTCCTGCACGTGGTTGAGCTCCGAGGCCAGCCTCCCGCTGTCGGCCTCCACACACTCGGCCTCCCGCCGCAGCGTCTCGATGTAGCCACTGAACAGCGGCTCCAGGTTGCTCTCACAGCAGCGCTGGTTCTGGTAGAACTGCCACTTGGTCTCCAGCAGCTTGTTCTGCTGCTCCAGGAAGCGCACCTGCCGCCCAGGATAGGGGAAGGAGACTCAGGGAGAGCCCCAGGAGGTGCCTGGTCCCCCAGAGCCCTCTCTGCCCTGATGCTCCCTGAACAGCCGGGGCCAGCCACGAGCTGAGCCATGGGGTTGAGTGTATGGGACTCAAGGAGCCTGGCTCCCAGCCCCCAGGGCAGCAGTGTGGGTGTGAGGGGAAGCGCCCCGGGCTGGAAGCCGAAGGTCTGGTTCGAGTCCCAGCTCAGCCGCTTTAAGTGGACAAGTTGTCTAACCTCCTGGGGCTGGGTTTCCTTATTTTACACAGAGATGATGGCAGTGCCTTCCTTGGAGTGGTGAAGACTGAACAAGTTAGTACACGGAGAGTGCTTAGAACAGTCCTGACACCTAGTAAGTGCTCAACCAAATTAACTATTACTACAATTACCAGTTGTTCCTCATTTATTCATATGCAACGAACAATTATTCACTATGTGATGCCAGGGCCTGTGCTAAGATACACACACACACATCTATATCTGTATCATCTATATCTATATCCATATCTATCTCTTAATTTCATTCAATTCTCACAACCTCTGTGGGGGAAGATATTATTCCCCCCATAGTACAGATGGGGAAACTGAGCCTGAGGTGTGAAATGACTAGCTCATTGTCACACCATCAGCAGGAGATGGAGTCAGGATTTGCTGTCCCGTGGGTCCCCTTCACCTGCCCACCACATACGTCTAAGCAGCTCATCTAAACTCTCTCAGCTTCAATTTGTTATTTGAAAAAAGGAGATAATGATACCTGCCCCATCGGGCATTTTGAGGATGTACGACGATCACTAAAGAGAAAGCGGTGATAGGAAGGTCAGCCCCGTCACCCTGTCACCCCGGACCCCAGGCCCCAGAGCCTGGTCCTATCTACTCTGCAGAGTGAGGCCTCGCAGACACAGGAGCCAATATGAAGAGAAGAGTGTAGGTGGACTTCTTGTGGGACAGGCTTGCAGCAGAGGGGCGTTTTTCACGCTCTGCAAGGGTGCGCCTCCTGGCTGCCTCCCCTCCCACATTCCCAGCCCCCTATCCATGAAGGAGGCTGCCAAGCCAGGATTGGTTAACTGTCATACCTCCCCACCCACTACCATCCTTGGATAATACTAACAGCTAGCATTTATTGAGTGCTTACTGTGTGCCAGGACCTTTCATGCATGAACCCATCAGTCCTCACTACAAGCATATGAGGCCGGTTCTGTCATCCAGACAAGTACCACGCCTGGGGTCCCACACTGCCGAGGGGCAGAGCAGGGATGGAGGAGGCAGCGTGGCTCAGAGCCTTGCCCCAGCCCTTCCCAAGCTCCCCAGCCTGTGAGCCATGTGACTTTTATGGGCCCATTAACTCCCACTCTTGCAGCACCCAGGGCCCAACCCAGTTTTTCCGGAGCAGCTCTGATATTCCTGTGTTGTCTTGTCACCGGACGCGCACACACACTTAAGATCACACACTCAATTTCCGGACCACTCCGGGCCCTCAATGCCCTTTGCTGGAATTAAACCATGAAAACTGATCCTTCTGCCTATGTTGGTCTGCATTTCTCTCCCTCTGTGGTCTCAAACGTGGCTGCCATGCTGTCTCCCCAGCAGATTGGGACCTTCCCGAGTGAGGGCGGGGCTGGCGCCCCCTCTGGACCATCCTCACTGACCTTGTCGATGAAGGCAGCGAACCTGTTGTTGAGGCTCTTGATCTGCTCTTTCTCCTCTTGCTTCACGCACTGCGCATTGGGGTCGATCTCCAGGTTGAGGGGCGCCAGGAGGCTCTCGTTGACCGACACGGTGGTGATGCAGGGCGCGCTGGGGCCGCAGACGCCGCCGGAGCGGTATCCGAAGCTGCGGCCGCAGGAGCCGGCGCGGAAGCTGCCCACAGCGAGGCGGGGCCCACAGGAGCCCAGGTTCGACAGGCTGCGGCTGCCGAAGCCCGTGAGACCCCGGTAGCAGGACACCCCTCGGTAGGGGGCTGCGCTGATGCAGCAACGGCTACCAGTTCTGGGGGCCACAGCCGAGCAGGAGCTGAAGGTCCTGGTGACCCCACATCCTGAGCTGATCCGGTAGGAGCGGCAAGACATCGTGTGGGTCTGAGCAGAGGCTGAGCGCTGCGGACGTAGGTGAGGGCTGCGGGTGCGCTGCTTAGGATCCTCTGGCCTCTCTGATCCTCCCTGGTCCTTTTATTGGTGGGGAGAGCTGGGGGTGGCTGCATAAAAGGAGTGAAAAGCCATTTTATGTTGTTTATTGGCTTGGGGAGTTTGCCAGCAACTCACCAAGGACTCGTCTTAAAGGTGAGCTCAGCAGCGACTGTGGGACTCCGTAAAAGTATTGAAGATGTTATTAGGGACACTGTGCGTTCGCACTTTTCATCTTCAAAGCTCGTTTACATACATTAAGTAATTAATTTCTTGCAATCTCCCTGTGAGATGGCCTCAACCCACACCTGGAGACGGGTTTGAACTCCACAATAGTCTGAGGGTGCTGGGTTTGGGGCAGAGGCTGGGGCCACTGTCTCAAGGAGAAGTTCCAGGGTCCCAGGTTGGGTGAGACCATGAGAAGTCATTACCTCTGTCATCCTGGCTCCATGCAGAACACATTCTCAAGAAAATCATTGTGTTTCGGGAGCTGATGGATCAGGCAAGGCCACACTCACCCAGGCAGCATGGCCTGGACGGTGGTTCAGGTCCAGAGGGGCCATTTTGACCAAGCTTCTTGCAGGACAGGGGGCTGAAGCACATGGCCTCTTAGAACCTTCTGGATTCCAGCCCAGAAGGTTCTGTTCCAGAACCTTCATTTCTCATCCAGCAAAATTGCAAACCACTCAACTCTCAGGGACCACAAAAATGACCACTTGTGGATAATGGAGAGCCTTCACTTTAGCCACTCTCTTCTGCTGGCCGAAAGGATGGGAGAACCCAATCCTGGGATAACCTGGCTGCTGTGAACTTGCTCTGGGCAACTTCCCTTGGCTCTTGAAGAAGAAACAGGTCCTGTGAGTCTCCTTTCCAAGACCATCAGCCAGAGGAGGGGCTCATCCTCTTCACCAGCCCTAGAATTGCCAGCCCTGGAGAAACGTTCAGAGACTACACAGAGATGGGGGCAGGAAGGTGGCTTTTCTTGTCTGAAGATGCTGTGATTTCTGGTTCCCGGGGGCTCTGGGATCCTGGCTGCCTCTAACGTCCCTGCATCCCTGTGTGTCCTGGGGCCACTTATTAGGATAATGATTGCTATTCTTTTAATGTTCATTAAGCACAGACCTGGGGGATGTAGTCTCTGACCCTAGGGAGGCTAGCCAGGCACCAGAGGTGTTAGGAACTTCGGGAAGAAGAGAGATGAGCTCCCTCCTAGGGTGATGACCCCTCTAGGGAGCCCCCCAGAACCAAACACTGCCACTGTGCCTCCATTTCCTGAGGTCTCCTAAGATGCCAGACGTTCTGTCCCGGGTCTGCCCTTGTCTTCACTGCCAGGCCCACTGCAGATCTTTGCCCATCACCAGGTTGACTGGTTTCTACTTCCACATCCCACACCTGTTCTTCCGAGTAGGGCAGAGAGACCTTGGGCAGCTGGTGGGGGAGGAGCAGCTAGCCTCTCCAGCTGGCCCCTAATGATCTTCAGATCACCCACAGGGAAGCCACTGGGATTAAGCACCTGGGCAATGGAATCAAAGTTTGAAGACCTGATTCAAGTGCCAGCTTGGACACTTCCTAGCTGTGTGGCTTTGGGGAAGTTCTTAACCTCTCTGAGCTTCCATTTCCTTGACTTTAATGTGAGATTCATCCTTACCTCCCAGGGTTGTTGGGAAGATTAAGTGGGTAATACACGAGAATGTGCTTTGGGGACCAGAAAACTCTACATAAGGGAAAGGGACTCTTGCTTCCCATCAGAAACACCCCACCACCCGCTGCACCCCTTACCCAGCAAAGAGTGGGCCTGTTCCTTGCCCCACCTATGCTCTTCACCTCCTCTGAACATTTATGACTTCTTTACCCTTTCAAGGCTGCTTTTAAGGTTTTCGTTAACCCGATTTCAGTAGTACAAAAATTTGGGGTGGAATCTGGGGGTGGAGAGAGGAGGCTGTATTGGGGAACACAGGGGATGGTTTCCCAGCCCCCACCCCTCAGCAGGGGCCCCGCTGGCCTGGGTCCGGAAATGTGTTCTGGTGCTTTGGACAGTGAGCTTGTTGACTGACGGTTGTGTAGACCTGGAGCTGGTGTCCTGTGGGCCAGGAGGGATTCGGGGCCTTTGAAAGCAGGTGGGGAGGGGGATGGCGAGAATGGGAGGTGGAGGATGGGTGGGCCCTCAGCTCAGCCAGCCTCAAGAGCCCATACAACCTCACCTTCTTCTCAACTCCTGTAAGCCTCTGCCTCCTTCAGCTTGTGGAAGAGGATGGAAGCAGACCCGTTTCTGCCTCTCTTTGGCGGCAGGAGTGAGTGGAGGCTTTTTCCTATAGGATGGCTCTGTGTCAGCTGCTTCCTCATGCCCCCAACACACACACACATACATACACACACACACCCTCCCAATCCTCCACCCTGAATTGAGCCTGGGACTGAGGATGAGGAAGTGGATCCAGGGGATTCAGGAGACCTGGGAGAAGCCCCACGGCTTTCAGAAATAAGATGCCCATCCAGGACCAGCAGAACTATCCAGAACAAGAGTGTGAGCACATGGGTGGGTGCAGCGAGTGAGGACAGTTCCAGCCCGGCACAGGGATGTGCTCATGGGCTCTGGGTGAATTTGCATCTCTGCAGATGCAGCTGGGCCCAGGGCTGGTGGGGGCCGCTCAGGACGGCTGTCCAGATGGCGCTTGGATTGGAGGGGCTGGCTGGAGAGGGAGACTGAGTCCTCATGGGCTGTTCCCAGGTCAACCAGGGCAAATGAGAAACTCACAGACCAGGCCAGTCTGGCACAGCTCCCTGGAGGGTCTGGGTAGAGCCACGGCACCTGGGCCTTGGCAGTCTGGTTCTACCCAAGGGAGGGACAGAGAACCCATAGCCCTGTACCCGTCTCTACCCATCACCCAAGCACTCTGCCCAGTGTGACCACATCCTTGTCCGGGCACTGGGGTGGGAGCTGGACCTCCCTTCACTGGCCTCCGCCTCATTTACTGCCCACCTGTGCCTGATTGTTTCCCTGAACCCTTCTCTCTCCTCCAAGCCTTCTCCTCGGCCACACTTTTGCCTGGAATCTCCCAGAACGACCAGCCACCTCTTCTAGGAAGCCTTGTGAACTAGTCAGAGGGAGGCTGTGATTTCTCCTTCTCCCTGTGTGAGTGGGCAGCTCACAAAATGCCCTTTCTAGGGCTCCCCAGGTGCCTCTAATTATCTCCTTCCACACCCTCTTGTCCTGGTGCTGTCATTCATCACCCCCTTTGGTCCTGTCCCCTCCTGCCTCCACATCTTTTGAAGGCCACACCCCGTGTTGGGAATGTCCACTCAAGAACCCATATCCCGGGCCGGCCCTGTGGCTTAGCAGTTAAGTGCGCGCGCTCCACTACTGGTGGCCCGGGTTGGGATCCCGGGTGCGCACAGACGCACCGCTTCTCCGGCCATGCTGAGGCCGTGTCCCACGTACAGCAACTAGAAGAATGTGCAACTATGACGTACCACTATCTACTGGGGCTTTGGGGAAAAAAAAAGGAGGAGGATTGGCAATAGATGTTAGCTCAGAGCCGGTCTTCCTCAGCAAAAAGAGGAGGATTAGCAGGGATGTTAGCTCAGGGCTGATCTTCCTCACAAAAAAAAAAAAAAAAAAGAACCCATATACCTCTTGTAATTTAAAATGCTCCCAAGAGGTCACTTCTTCCAGGAAGCCTTCAAGAGCTAATTGGGTGAGAAATGTTCCTTACCCCCTCCTAGATGCTCAGGCAGCTTCCACGACTCCGTCTGACTCTGCTCCTTTCTTGGAGTCCATCTCCTGGGGTTGCCCCGGAGGCCTCATCACTCACACTCACGCCCACTCTGGGTGGTCCGTCCCCCTCCTGCGTATTACTGAAGCTGGATGCTTGTTGGGGGCAGACTTGCTCTTCCCCACCCCAGGGGCTCGTGACCTCCCCTCCCTTCTGCTCTCTCTACTGTGCTCAACTCCCCCTGCCTCTAGGAAGGCTTTCAGGATTTGTTCAAAGAGAAGGGAGTGCTGATACCTTCCCGTCCTGCCCTCTCCGTCCGTAGAGCTGCCTGTGGCCCCTTGCAGTTCTGTGTTTGCATCTGCCTAGGCTCTCATGGACTGTCTCACTGTCCTTCCTGGCGGCTGGTTCTCCAGAATTCACCCTGATGGGCTCCCCACAGACAAGGCCTGTCCTGAGCAGGGCCTTGGTGCTGCCCACACAGCTCATTCAAGTCAGGCATCTCCCATCATCTCTGCTGGTCTTCTCCACACTTTATTATGTATCCAAGTCTACGCCGCTTCCCGGTGCTGGGACACAGTTCTTGAAGGGTCTTCTAACCCTGTGACACTTTCTTTGGCTTTTATCAAACTTGGGCGTGACTCAGACACTATATGAGAGGAGGGAGGTCTGAGCCACAGGGAGGAGCCAGATGAACCCTGGACCCTCCCCAGCGCATCTGGGGCTGGGCTGCTCCCTGGGCTGCCCCTCCCTCCCTCTCACAGGCGTCCCCACCAGGATTCAAGAAACTCTGCAGTCTCCTCCAGAACCCCATCCCCACTCCTTCTTGCAGGTGTCTGTCCCTGGTGGCTTTGCTGTTTCCCGTGGCTACCCTGTTCAGAGCAGATGCTGAGTAAACACAGAGCCTCTAATTTCAGAATTGGCCAGTATTAATGATTTTGAAAGTTTTTATTTTCTAGAACCATTTCCCTAAATCTTAGGAGGAAAACTGCTATCTAAAGCTGACACCTGATGCTATCGGCTACCCGATGCGAGTGGGAATGGTCCTTTGAGCCAGACCCCTATGGCCCTGTGCCGGGCAGGTACACAGGGCCTCTGTGGGGTCCGGTCTCCCAGATGACTCTCGTGAACAGATTTCCCAGCACTGCCAGGATGGGAAGTGCTAGATGCCATGGCTAAGGAGGTCCCTCAAGATCTTGCTTCTGGGGCACAGAACTGTCTATATATTATTATAAAAACAGATGAGATTGACACACTGGTCTCCCTGCTTGCCCTGGCCCCTCCACTCTGTTCTGAACACAGTGGAGGGATTCCCTTAAAACATTATGTTGGATCATCTCACTGTTCT